TATAGAATGTAGCGAAGACAAGAATATAACCATTTCAATTTCAATTTTTATTAGCTTTAATTTCATATATGATATTATTATAGATACAACGCATAGTTCACTGATATCCGAAAAAAAGTAAACTTTTTGAATCGTAAATTCAATTTTTCGACTTGAAATCCACGGATGTGAGACAACTGACTATTATTTCATTTCGTAAGATCGTAGATACTATAAATTGAAAGGGTTTGTAGCTTTATATATCTATAAGCCCTCTCTATATATACGCTTACAACCTATGAAGGGCCTCTGGCTTCACATTTTGTATTCTAGCAGCTATATGCAGATAGACGTGCATTTTTCTCATCAGGCCTCTGGATACGATCAATTTATAAGGACAAACTTTAGTATGAAATATGATACCTTTTTCGCCACGGGCTCATAATTTCTGGCGGATCTACAAAGGACAGCTTTCGGGCTGAAGTTCTCTTCCCGCCCAAAAATTAGAAAATAATTGTTTTTATTTTTTCTATATATTTTTCTGATTTAATCTAGATACTTAAACAATCATAATCTTTTCACGTTTAAAATTATAATTCATATACATCTAATAAATGTAAGTATGGGTCCAGAAAAAATATCTTTAAAAGCATTACAGTTCCTGTAATTATGTGGTGTTTTTTTTAATAGGCCTTCAATAACTACATAAACATGATTTCATTGATTATTTTTTTTATTTTTCTTCTAGAGTAATTGTTGTTATAAAAAAAAAAGAAGCCCTCTACGGGCCCATTACCTTCATTTTTTTCTAAAACAGATTGTAACACTTGGACTCTGATTTTTTAATATATAAATTTAATTTTGATTTAATGTTTTATTTGAACGAAAAATGGGCATTGTAAAATAATTAAAAATCAGAAATGTATGTGCATATAATTTATAATATTTCTTTTAAATGCCTCCTAATTAGAATTCGAAATGCAGATAAGTATTTCAATTTAAATTACATTAGAGGATCATCGAGATCAAAAACCGGAAACGATTCGAAAATTCGAAATCGCCAGGATATTCTCATTTAACTCACAAATCAATTTTTAAAAAAGAAATCTGATTAATTTTTATTTCATAATTCTTAACACATTTCTTTATCGTTAAGTTCTGCAATACATATTTATCCTTTTACCAGCCTAGCAATCAGATTAAAAGAGAATATATATGTAACAATTAGATTACGATTCTTAACCACTAATTCCCTACTGATAAACAATGACGACACTGTGATCTGGGCCAGTGGAATTCTTTTCACATAAAAGCATGGAAAGAATTCTAACTCCATCAGTTACGCATGTTGTCTTTTTATTGAGTGGGTTAATGAGCATTAATTAGGCCTCAGCTGCTGCTTGGTAGATAGACTTTGGCATAATTTGGAACTCGTACACAAGTAGGCAGATTTTTAAAATACTCTCTAGAATATTATTACTTATTGAACAATATTAATTTTTTATCTACATATTGGAAAATATTGACCAGCTTGATTCATTTTAGTAAGCTTTGTGTGACGTCGCTCTTTGTTTCTAAAACCGCTGCAAATATTTATATATAAAATATATTAGGTGTATTTCCTCAAACGACTTCCCTTACCACTTCGCGGGAAACCCATGGTAAAAATAATTCGCTAAAATATTTTTGTTTTTAGACAAATCGGTTGATTTATTACTTACTATTCTACAAATAGTTTAATCATAATTGCCGTTTAGTGTCAGTTTTAAAATTTAAAGTTTTATCATTATTTTTATTATATAAATAGCTTCCATATATATTCTTTTTTTAATTTTAGTTAATATTTCTTTTATCTTTTATTAATAAATTACGTTTATCAAAATTTGTGCTATTATGTTATAATAAAATGCGGTAATTGTTATAGAATTGGTTTTTGTTTATACGTTTTTCCAATTCGGAACATGTTGAGATAATCAAGTTTTTTTATGTTTCTGCAATTTATATTTGATCACAATTGAACCAGTCTTTTTTTTTTTAATTATTATAGTTTTATTTTGTTTACATAAAAAATTTATTTTATCTTCTAGATTTGTTGTATCGTTCATTAGTTTATTGCACAGGCGTATCTACGGGGGATTTTCGGGCTGAAACCTCCCAAAATGGTAAAATATAACCATGTTTTATGGAAAAATATTTTAAAAATATCTACTAAAGTATTATTGTAGCCGTAATTTATATTCAATGGGACTTCAAGAATCACTTAAACATGTAATATCCGTAATTAGTATTTTTCTTTTTTCCAAAATAATTATCGTTATATACATGAAAAAAAAGGTTTCGGGCTGAAGCCTCCTCTCCTCCCCCCCCCAAAAAAAAAATTAAATCCTGCATTCGCGAGTGGTTTATTGTGATTATAAAGACCAAATTTGAAGTTAAAAGAACGGTGAACAAAGGCTAAGCCAGAAAGAGGTTGGAAATTAATTTATTACGCAATTATTTTTTTTACGCAATTATTTTCTTTCAGAATGTTAAATCACAACAAGCATCCTGTCTCTAATAGATTTATTTTTCCGAAATTCATTTTTTACATTCCTGCCAATTAATTTTTTTTTCCGTTTTTAAAAAATTGATTCCATGTTGAAAGAGGGAAAGCAGCAGCCCATCGTGGTTCTTTCCTGATTAACTCGGATGTTGAACGAATGAGAAGGAACGGGTTCCAAAAAGAACGGTTAATATTGAACGAGCTCCCGTAAAATAACGGTTTCGCCCATCTCTCGTTCCCATGGTATCAAATGATGTCACTGAATCGATACAGAAACTGCTCGTTGACCCGAGTTCCTGATTACAAGGTCAAAGTATTTATTAATTGTTCTGTTAAAATGGCGTTAGGAAAGATTCTTCATAAATGTTACATAGATAACGGCTAACATGTAATATTTCATTAAATAGTTGTCACATCTTTTGCAATTTTGTTCCAATTCTCAGTTCGGTGTGCTCGGTAGAGATCAACAAGTGTCCAAATGATAAGACTGATTAAAAAATCTTATCAGGATGTAGTATTGACGTTTCTTAATTAATTACGTAACTCCAATCACTTCATATTCAGGTATTGATATGCTAATGTTACAGTCTATTTCTACAAATTAGAAATGCCATAATATAATAATTGATGGATGAATAATTTTTAAAACTATTTAATGATATACTTTGATTATTTCAATAATTTCACATCTTAACACCCAAATTTACTTCTTTTTCAAAAGTATTATTAATATGAAGATTATTTAAACTGATTAATATTGTTTTGATACTTAATTTGTGATATTTTATAATAATATGTGGATCATTTATTATTTGTTTATTTGTTATATTTAAAACTTGATTATCTTATTACATATTCTTAAGGAAAAAAATGTTATACATCTCACAAATAAGTAGTGATTAGGTTCTTTAAGCAAATAATTCCAACAGTTCAATATATAAATTTGTATTGTATAAATATGTTCATACATACAATGGCCAGCAAAAGTTTTTGTACGCAGATGGCTTATAAATAATAAAATCAATATTCAATAATTATTCTTTTGTTCATATTTTTTGGTTTTTTAATTTAAATGTTTATATTTAAAAATATTTACCTAACAATAAATACATACATTTTTACTAAAAATTTAATTATAAAATAAATATTGTTATTAATACAGCAAAAGTTTTCATTCATTTTCACATTATATAGTAACCTATTTCTTTATTTTAGTCAACAATTTTAAAATTGATGTTTTGAATGCAGTTCTTTGATTTTTTTTAGTGCCATTTTAAGTCATTTGGTTAGTGATGGGGTCAACTTCGAAGTCAATTTGGAGAGTATTTTCTCCTATTCTTCCAAAGATTTTAATTTAAGATATTTTCATGATATTATATTATGAAGATGTTATATTTTCATTTCTAAACTGTGAATTGACACAAACTCATAAATGTTCGATAGGATTTAAATCTGGGCTTTGGAGAGGAGTTTCATGTTCATTCGGATAATAATATAGCAGCCATTCCTTGGTATAGAGAGCTTCTAGCGGTAGGTCATTATCCTAGTAAAACTTAAATTCTCTTCCTATACCCATTTTTGCTGCACTAACCTTAACAGGAAACGAAAATAACACCGGAAAAAAATGAGAACAATTAGGAAACAAGATGAGCAAGATACGATTTAGAGAATATTAAAGAAATGTTGATTTAAAGTCGGAGGGAATTGAAAAAGACCTCTTATAAATTTAAAGAATAAGTACGCATAAATTGGATTTCAAGAATTTTGACTAAAATAAATAAATATGTTATTATGTAATATAAATATTGTAATATATATCTTTATTCGAAGTTTGTAAAAATTGTTTAGTTAAAAGAGTTGTTTTAAAGGATAGCTGGCCAGTTTATCTTGACTTTAGTTTCAAATGAAAACAGTGTTGTGTATGAACAGTTCAGATAATTTGGTCTGATTGCCAGTAATCCATGTACTGAAATAAAATCATTGTAATTTCATCTTAAGATATCAAAAGTTTTAATTTTTTTTTTTAATAACCGTTATAATTGTTTTGGAAAGTTTCACTCCAATATTGAAGTGATCTTCCAGGATTATTATTATTATTATTATAATCAATATAAAATTTTTCTCATAAATATATTTGTGATGCTACGGAAATGCATTCAAGAATGACAAAGTTCTAAATGCAACATTTCAATATTCAAAATTATATTAATATAAGTGATACAATTAAGTCATCAACGAATGCAAATACAAGTTCACAGCCTCAACATATTGTACAAATAAAATTGTTAGTCTAAGTAACAAAATATTCACACTACAGTACAGTATAACTTTGAAGCTCTGTTCCTCAAAATTATAGTTAATGCAGTTAGAACATTTTAAAACCACGGTTTGTTTTTGTATCGTGTACAGATATTAGACTATATTTTCTGACTCATATGATTTTATGATAATTCTCTCAGTAATCATTTCTTCTTATTAGCATCTCGGACGTATAAAATGGCCTCCACTGTTAAAGCTATTTGGAAAAAAGCTGATGCTGTTTGTTTTGATGTTGACTCCACTGTTATAAGAGAAGAAGCTATTGATAAATTAGCCGAATTTTGTGGTAAAGGGAAAGAAATACAATCAATGTAAGATCATCAACTCTTCCTTAAGTTTTCAAGACTCTTCAGTAGACTCAAGAATTATTTTTTATTCTTTTTGTTTTTCAGGACTTCAGCTGCAATGAGTGGGAAAATGAGCTTTAGAGAATCTCTATCTACCAGACTTAATTTGATTCAACCTTCAATGCAACAGGTCCAAGAATTTATTAGAAGTAAACCTCCTACACTTTCAGTTAATATAAAGTAAGAAATTAAATTATTACTCACATTAATTTAAAAATCCTAATTATTTTATAGTAAAAAGTAATAATTTAGGAAACTGATCAACTGTCTACAGCGAAGAGGAGTACCAATTTACCTAGTATCGGGTGGTTTTCGAGGTATTATTGGCCCTATTGCTCTTGAATTGAACATACCTCTGGAAAATATTTTTGCCAACAAACTCAAATTTTTCCTAAGTGGTGAGATGCAGTTTGTAAATACATATATACATTATGTTTTATGAAAATATGAATAGTAAGTTAATTGCTGATTACTATGGTTTTCAGGAGAGTTTGCTGGCTTTGATGAAAATGAATTGACTAGTAGAGATGGTGGTAAGGCAGAGGTGATAAAACATTTGATTCAGAAATTTGGTTATTCCAATATAGTCATGATCGGAGATGGAAATACTGATCTTGAAGCATCTCCTCCAGCTCATGCATTTATAGGTATCTATCTATCATAATAAGACATCATTATTTAAAATTTGTTTTATATAATAATGAAAATTACGATTTTTGTTAGGCTATGGTGGTAATGTAGTTAGAGAAGCTGTGAAGAACAAATCTCAATGGTATGTGACAGATTTCCAAGAATTAATCGATGAATTGAGTTAAAGATTCTAGATGATCTCTCTTATATAATTAATGTATTTATTTATTATTTGTTTTTGCAATGTCTGTAATTATTTAAAATAAACAAATTGCTTTTAATGATTTTTCTAATTAACTATTTTATGTGTCAGTATTTGAAATGAAAACTTTTTTTTACCCTAATGAATTTTTAACCAATGATTGGGCAATCATTTTGAAGATTGCTCACTTTGCTAATGGTAAAAAATAAATAAATCCCTCAGAAAAAGTTATGAACTAAAAGAAACTAAATTTGTGCTTAACTTAAAAAGTGTATGTACAATTCATGTTTGATTATATACATAATTACTTGAAACTTAAAAAAGCAAGGTTATTAAATTTCCTAAGGAAAAAATCATCTAACTCAGGCTAGAATTAGCAAAGATACAGGCTATTGGACTTTTTTGTTTTATTATTTTCTATAATAAAGGTTTGTTATCAAATAAGAAATAATCCCTCTTCAAAAATTATTGTATTTACTCATTTCCACATTAATCTCCATTTTTTTACTTGAAAATATTCTAGGTATTAGTTGGCCCTTGTGAAGAATTAGTAAGGGTCAACATGATTTTTTTAAATTTTTGTGGATACTAACTCTCAACAACCTTTGAACCCACTGTGTTACTTAACAGCCTCTATGCATCTTATATGTGCTAAATAAAACTGTTAAAAGTTCATAGAAAATTTCAGTATTTATTTGTAGGTCTATCATTACAGCTTAAATAATAGCACACTAAATTTGATATGCCAACTAAAATATTAATTTAAATTTTAATATTATTCTTTAGATAAATTTCAAAAAATAAACTAAATACTTCAAGATGTTAAGACAAAGGTAAAAAATAAATAAATGTATATTAATTTTTTTTTAGATCTTTTTCAATTCATTCTGACTTTGAATTCATACGAGTATTGTTTCAATATTCTCAGAATCGTATCTGTTCCAGCTTGTTTTTCTAATTGTTTTCATTTAATCCTGGTGTTATTTCCATGGGCTGTTAGAGATAGAGCGACAAAAATTAGGTATAGAATGAATATTAAAATTTTACCAGGATTGCAACCCTTAGCCTAAAGCTTTCTATACACGGGAATGGCTGTTATAAAGTATTAATTACTAAAAATAACATGAAATTCCTCTGCAAAGTCCAGATTTGAATCCCATGGAATATTTATGGGTTTAGTGTCAATCCACAGTTCATAAATATTGCTATAGCGTCAGTAATGTATCTTAAATTTTCTAACAGAAAATCGTTTGGTGAATGGAGGAAAATATCCTCCTAATCAACTTAAAGTTGTACCAATCAATGATATAAATGGTACCCAAAACGAAGAATTACATTAAAAAAATTACTTTAAAAATTCTGGGTAAAATAAATAAATGATTTACTGTATGAACGATAACCTTTTCTGCATTAAAATTCTTATTTTATACTTTAATTTGTATTAAAAACATATTTCTTTACTATTGGGCAAATATTTTAGAAAAAACTGATAAGAGTGGTTTAAATAAAAAAATGTAGGAAAGAATTGGTCTTATTATTATTATTTTTTTCTATCAGTTCATATATGAAAACTTTTGCTGGCCAATCTATTCATGTACATATATAATGGTGTGAGATATGATAGGAGTGAAGTACGTACCGATAAAGTACAGCATATCCAAATATAAATAAAAAAGGTGTTTTCATTTTATTATTGTTTTTATGAATGATTTGGTTAAATAGTTAAACAATTACAGTCTGGTCTCTTTTTAAACTATAACGCATGCACCTCAGCTACTAAATGTAAGAGCACTGTCAAGAGAAATATAAAACTTTCATGTTTCGAGAAAAATAGTTAGTATATGGTACATACTAAAGAGGATGAAAATTAGAAGATAATGGATACTTAACCAGGATTGGAGAGTGGAAGAAGAAAGCAAAAGATGCCCAGGTTCTTGCTAAAAGTAGCACCAGCAATTAAAACAAAAAATGTATAAAACACCCTCAAAAGCAGAAGAAAAACGTTATCTGGAGAACAAAATTTCATTTTCGAATAATTCTGAAAGTACATCCAATTCATTTATTTGATCATTTAAACAATAATTCAAGTCCCTAATCATCTAAATTAGATCAATATTTGCTATATTGAAATTTTTACACATGTTTTTAAAAGTAAATTAATGTTTCACAGAAAAGCTGTACACCTTTATTTACTTTTGTCTACATGAAAGCAATACATCCCCAAGAATATTCCAGATTTTCATTTGAAAAATAATTTAATTAATACAGAGCTAAACATTAAAAATAAATATTTTTTAATTAAATCTTTTTATTTTAACCATGAGGATAAGGTGGGGTAACTTTCCTCCCTTCAAATGTGAAAAAAAAAATTAAAAATAATTTAAATAAGTATAGTTGGTAACCTACTACTGAAACATCCATGTTTATGAGTAATATTCATGAATCAATAATTGTTAGAAGTTATGAAAAATGGCTAAATATAACTTTTGAAAGAATTTGATACTTGAATGAAGGAGTAAAAAAAGAATAATGTTGATGCAAGTCTAAAATGAATCTCTGGAAATAATAGTCAGAAGGTATAGGTATAACATCGTTGAAAAGAAGAGAATTTTATAAAAAAATAATATCAAATTAATAAAGTTGTACAAGGTAATACTAGCGGATCCAGGATTTAATTTTGAATGGGGTAGATTTTTTTTTTACTTTCACTTACCTATATATGTAATATATACTAAGTGTAAGTATTACGATCGTGAAAATTTTTTAATCTGATTTTTCAACGCAAATACACGTTTTGAGGTCCCTTGAGTCCCAATAATCAAGTCCCAAAAAATGGTCTGTGTGTATGTGAACACTTTAGCTTGAAACCGAAAAGTCGTACCAAACTGATATTACGTATTTAAGATAGGTATATGTCTTAGATAGATGTAACAGCAACTTTTTCCTTACAATCGGCTAACCGGAAGTGCCACTTTATATCAACGCTGAAACACATTTTTACAATTTTCTCAAAAACGGCTCTAACGATTTTGATTAAACTCGGTGTATCATTGTATAATTAAGTGGTCTTTAATATCATTTAGGTTTTATCCCCGTTGATGTCACTTTACAGGGCTTAAGTGGCCAATGTTCATATACGTCTTCCTCTAAAGTATCTTTAATATCGTTTATTTTAAATAATCAACTATCTCTTGCTATTAAAAGTTACGAAAAAATGCTAAATATCACTTTTAAAAGAATTTGATAACTGAATAAAGGAGAAAAAAATAAAAATGCTTATACAGGTTGAAAATGAATCTTCAAAAATACAAGGTAGAAGATATACTTATAATATATCGTTGGAAAGCTTGGAATTTTAGAAAAAAACAATATCTAATATAGAAAGTTGTAGAAGGTAACGGAGAGTGGCGAAAAAATTATAAATAATATTTTTTGAAAACTGATAATATAATATATACGTAAATCACATGTTTTCAAGGAAATTAAATGAAATTTACGTTTGTAGAAAGTATTTAAAATCCACATAATCAAGTCAAAGGCATTAAAAAAACAGTTTCATTGTACTTGTGTGAAAGAAGAAGTAAAATATAAAATCATTTTATGGATGTATAAAGCATATGTTCATTACCTTAAATATATTTACTGTAGTATAGTGATCATAGATCTGATAGTATATTTAAATAATTAGGTATCAACGTTTATTCCGAAAATTTGTCATGTAACTTTTTAGAAAATTAAATTAGTGAACAATTTGATGAATTTTCCCTTTGTGAAATCTCAACATTATCATATCTTCCTCTAAAGTACCTTTGATTTGTTTGTGTTTTTTGTCCACGAATCAGCCAGCAATGATCACGCGAATATCATTTCCCTTTCCTCGTCACACCCACAGCCTTCCTCTTACTCCAATACTCTCTCATCTTCCTGGACTGTTCCTCTCGCTCTTCCTTAGTCGATTTTCTCCCTCGTCCCTCCCTCCCACCTACAAGAACACCAACCCCTTTCAGTTTTCCCTAAAATCTCTATCCAAGCAATCTTTATCCATGATTTTTAGCCTGTCTAGTTCCTCTTTTATTTGTTTTACATATACTCCCATACTCTTTAATTTGGTTTATTAAAAATAATAACTATTTGTTATTGTTAGAAGTTATGAAAAAATGCTAAATATAACTTTTAGACGAATTTGATAATTACATAAAGGAGAAAAAAAAATAAAAATACTTATTCAGGTCGAAAATGAATCACCGGAAATACTGGGCAAAAGGTATACCTATTATATATCGTTGGAAAGCGTAGAATCTTAGAAAACACAATATCTAATATAGGAAGTTGTAGAAGGTAAGAGAGTGGCGAAAAAAATATTAATAATAACTTGTTTTCAAGAAAATTTTTAATGAAATTTTCTTACTAAATGTAAACTTTTAAATTTTTTGAAGTTTGAAAAATTATTTAAAACCCACGGATTCAAGGCAATGACATTGTTTAAGATACTATTTCATTGTACTTATTTCATGGAAATATTTATAACCTTAAATATATTTAAATTTAGTAGTTTAATAACTCTAGATCTGACATTATATTTAAACAATTAGGTATCTATCGTCCGTTTATTCCGAAATATCATTATGTTTAACCTTTTAGAAAATTAAATTAGAGAATAATTTGATAAATTTTCCTTTTGCGATATTCCAGCAGAATCCACTTACAATCAGTGTGACAATTTTGCCTATGACAGACAATGCAAATCTCTCTATTCCGTTTTAGTAAACTTTGAAATGGAAAATTACAGTTTAATAACTAATTGTCGTACAATCCATAATCAACGGATCGTACAATCCATAATCAACGAATCGTATAATCCATAATCAACCGGTGATACAATAAATAGGACTTTTGTTATTTTAATAGCATTTATATTTTTTTAGCTTTAGCTCAGTTAAAAATGCACTTCAAAAATTTTATAATAGCCCAACATGGCAAGAAAATAATTTCTATTCAATGTTGAGCGGTAAGTGAAAGTTTTGTGTTGCGCGCACCAGATTTTTCATGTATGTAACGATAATTAATTTAAAGAAAAAAAAGAAGAAAGAAACTAACTACCTATATGACACGGTGTTTAAGTGATTCTTGAGGTCC